TAGTCAAAGTTGATTCATTATACTGCGCCAAATTGTAGTGATAATCTCCAGGTCCTTATTCTAACAAAAATTTCTTTCAGCTATCTTAGCTCCAGTTCAACCGCAAATAACGGTCTCGAACCCTTTATTGATTGGTTGTAAGCTACTATCACCTGCGAAGCTTTGGAGAAGATTGAACATGCAGACAAAGGATGTCAGATAAATAATCGCGTTGAGTTTATGGGATGAAAGGAGAACCAATGAGTTACTATATAAATCTTACGATTGTAATGGAAGGAATAGGGTAAGCCTTAACCACTGGCTAAGCAAGCTCGCGCCATTGTTGTGTAATGTAAGCAAGGATGCTTTCAGTTGATCGGCTATCTTTGACTATGGCTAATCAAGTGGTGATGTTCAATATATGTTAGAAGCTCCCTAATGATGCTCTTCTCCATAACAGATCTTACGACCAGTCTTCCATCTTTTTTGGCGTTTTGAGCAACCATTGCTTCAGCAGCAGTTTATTGGAGAGTTGGGTCCGTTCTGAACGAGTCGTTGCAAAGAAATGATTTCGATTCCGATAATGATTTCGGTGGTTTTGATCCGATTCCAACTCTTGGATTGTACTTGAATGAAATGTTTGAAAGGAACGATACCGCTCTGATTCAAATATCACCGCTACCGCAATGTGGATCCTCACACTAACGCTTTCAATTTCCGCGATTTTAAACCACCAACGAACTACAAGGTAATAATTATTACGAGGAGTTTGGGGTATGGACGGTCCTCTTTTGTTGCCATTTTACTGTTCAATTTATCGCAGAACATGAAACCTGGCGACTACAAATATCCCTCATACAATTTTAGAAAGTTAAAGGTTAGGGATAAAAAGTATAGTAATAGAGAAGAAAGCAAACTGTGAAGCATTTCAGGTAGCAAAACCAATGAAAATTAGTCCTCCACCATCGCTGAGTGCCCATCCCCAAGGCCGAATTATACGTCACAGAATGTTTCAAATTCAAGTGCCAAAAAATATACCATAGTTCAATTTACCCAATAGGGCATTTCTACACCTCTTCCCACCTCTTTCATATTATACAAATCCCGTTGAACGCCAAAGTATACCCACAGCACACCGGCACTATAGATCAGATGTTCTCAAACTTATTTCGTCGAAAATCGATTTCTACTACCGTTCCTTTGAATCGCTCATTAACATGGAATTACGGGAATAAAAATCGGAAGAAAAAGTGGTAAACGAACCGACCGAATTGGTTTCAAGATCGGACTCGAAACCATGGAATCGAAGCACTAAAGGCTTTAGTTTTTTTCTGCGTAATGCCATTTTGAAGTAACCTGTTGACAAGGATCCAACCCTGTACATCGGCAACCAGACGCAACATCTGTAGCTGATGTCAAAAGCGCGCGATACAGCGAGTTTAAATAACGGCAAGGAGCTTTGCAGGCTGTGAACACTGCCCTGGCGTTTTCCCTTTAATCATTTTCAGATCGACGTGGAGGCGGCTGTTTAATGAACTCCCAGCGTCGTTCTTTTCGAGCATCGATCGCAGTTAATTCCCTACTTACTGCCACCAGGAGTTATTAAAGTAGGCGGGGCATGTTCTCTGCTCCCTTATTTCTATTGGATTTTATTCATTTCAGCTGAAATAATGCACTGGTGGCAGTAGCCATAGGTGCTCCAGGACGACTAAAATACTCATTCAAACGACTGCTGGTGCAACTCCCTGAAAGTTACTTTGAATTCTTGGTCAAACTTATATGATCTTGCACATGCTGCGAGATGCTGCCTCGCGAAATCGTGTTGATACTAGATATGTTATGCTTATATCATGCGAGAATGGATTACTAAAGATTAATAAAATCTTACTGGCATATTTTTTGGTGCATAGATATTTGAAATGCCGTCAAACTTGTTAATCCACACACGAATGAACCGAGCTGGCATGCCCGTTGCTGGTTTTCCAACGAATACTCTCCTTTAAATACAAGTGCTTCTGTGAATGGCAGTCTGACATTGTTTTCAATGCGACAATCAAAATAACATTTACTGACGTAAAAGCACAAGAATCGTTGTTTATGTAAGCCCGTCCTAATACCTAATAATAGCGGTCTCCCATCCTTCAGTGTGTAAGATGTGTGCACTCTGTCAATGTTATGCTTGCTGACATAACAACTATTATTACAATAAATCTTAGTCTACTCTGTGAGTTGTGATAATTGATTGAAAACAATAGCTTTGTGACCCTGGATTAAAAAATGGTGTTAAGCATATTGGCTCTGCACTTCTCACGCAACGCCATCATCATTTATAAAGGGGTATGTTCCGCACAAGTTACACCATCTAAGAATCGCTTAGCTGCGAACATGTATCTCAGAGGAATTAAACAAGTCAAGTCAGTCAAATAGGGCTATACAATTAGTCCATAGACATTCTTTCCCTGCCCTACCGGTAGCACCGTCCATCTGTCAACGTCGCTTCTCCTCGAATACCGCTGGACGCGCTAGATACGGTAGTGCGCAGTGCGGCAGTAATATCGAGACACTTGTGGGATCGCCACGCCCGCCGGTGACCTCAGAGAGGAGAAACAGGGACACGTACCGAAAACACTTCTCTATCATTTTAAGTTTCAAGGACAAATGTGCGGACCAATCTCTGATGTGTGACAGATGTCTAACAGCTTCGTAGAGTTACCAAGACTGTGAGCATATAAATATACTGTAATGCCCTCGTAACTTAGACCTTGAATGGAGAAAAGATCTTCTCGCAAAATTAGGCGACCAGAGTTACATCATCATGTACCGCAGCTTGCGAAGCTTCGAGAGCGATTGCGTTTCCGTGTGAGAGCACTGACGGCGCTATCTAGTAACCTTCTAGAGATTCAAGAATTATCTAGACCTACTTGGAAGCGCCTACCGATTGTATCGACCATTTCTGGATGTTCAAAGTTCGACACGGATAGGATGGGACGACGAACTCAGGCGGGTCTGCCTGGCAAGTCACATCGAGCGGCGGCATCATCGAGGAGAGCTCTGAGGAGCAAAGCTGGTTGATGTAGCGGTAGAAGAGAGCTAGATCACCAACGACCCGCCAGTGCGGAAAGGTCCTGAGACTGCCTGTAGAGAAGAGTTATCGATTAGTCGGACAGCTCTGGACAGCATCGAGCATGGATAATGTATTTAGTGCGGCAGCAGCCCAAACGCGTGGCTAGGTCTTATCTGGGCGTTGCCTAGATAATAATATGTATAATCCAAATTTAAGTATAACCTGTTCACAACAGCCTACTTACCTGGTCTGATACAACTCCCATTAGCATCCATATGAGACGATCGTCATTGACGATTGAGTCTGTGCAATTCAATTGCATTGATGTTATTTTGTGCTTTTAATATACTCAACAGTTTTACTGTACATCCAGTTTGAGGTTCGTCCTTCCTAAAGATCTTGAAATATCTTCAAAGTAAGGCACTTAATACGGTATAAAGTACATTGAGTGTGAATGAATGCAATTATCTACGTGACGGAGCCCACATGTTGGACGGTAACATTGCACTTTGTCCATCCAAATACCGTCTTGCATCAAACCACACAACATCATCAGATGATCAACTTTGACGTGCGATCAAGATTGGCCTGCGGCCGCTATATCCAGTTTCATAATTCACGGAATAACGTCGCGAAATCGACGACGGCCACCTGGTCGCTCTGAAATCAATCCGTCGGATCACAAAAATGCTCTCGAAATTCGCCTAAAGAAGCGTGTAATTTGTGAAACTGGATCTTAGATACGGTATCTCCTGTTACTAACTCTTTATGCTCCGTTAAACTCTGGCCCACCAGAGGATCAATCTTAGAACGAGACAATATGGAGATGCCCTGTTATGGACATTTTGCTCTCTCTCTATTGATGTCTCAGCACAACACTTCGTTGGACCTTTGTACAGATAATATTCCGTCTACTCATTCTTATCATCTGTGTCTCGGTTTCCTCCATTTTACGAAAGAATTTCGTTTCCTGGCCACGTCTACTTGTCATGCCTCTAAAGAAGTCATTGAATTGAGCTCGTTCCGCCAACGCAAAGCGGTGCAGCGGGTTTGTGCTGAATAGTTCGAAACATTTAATCAACAAACTACCAAGTTTGACAGCCAAGTGAAAACTGCCATTGAACTGACAAAACTGTTCTATGGCCACTGCTGTTCAGCATAAGATCGCTGGTCCGCCGGACTGCTTCACGTTGGCTGAATGCGCTCATTGATTTAATATGGACAAGCATTTCGTTACTGGCCCGCTACGATAACTAAGATAAAAATACAATAACTGATAACAAGTACGGCAGAAGACATATACAGTTTCTTTCGTAGCGCACTGTTTCAAATAGACTGAATAATTACTGATGCAGAACTGTGTAGATAGTCGAGCGGTCCAACACATGCCAAGAATGAGGAGCTCTCGTGAATTCGAGCCTAAGGGAGCGAATTATGTAGCTGGAGCAGCAGAATCCCAGACAGGTGAGCAGTATTCAGGGCCTGGTATTAGCAGAGCTTTGTACACCGTGATTATATTAGATGAAGAAACGTGCTTCCTACCCTGAGAGAGATAATCCAGCATATGCTTATGACAAATCATATCCTCGATGCTCTGGACTTTGAAAAACCGAGGTGAATCGCTTCTTGACAAAGCTCATCCGTTTGTCAAACCAAGATGTGCATTTTGGAGCTTCGTATTGGTTCTTAGGAGCACCAAACTGCACCAAATTACTGCCTCTTTGGATAGCGATATCCCCAGGTCTTTCGTGGAAGAATACGTCTTTCCTCTCCAGATAAACCGTTCATACCAATTGGACTCTCGCGTAATATATACTTAAATACGTGGAAAATAAAACTCCAACTCAATCTACTCGTCTTGTGAACAGATGGTAGTAATAATTACTCAAGAGGCAGCAGCGGTGGCCGCAGTAGTAGACTCTTCGGTCTCCTGATCAGTCGCCGTGCCAGGAGAAATTTTTCTCTTGGCTATGGATGTTGTGATTGTCCGTAGGTGGTAGATGGTCTCTGACTGTCGAACGCGGAGGTACCACCCGGCGGTTCTCGTAGGCGGAGCCAGAATGTGTGCATGTTGCATGCACACGTATTCCCTCGCCAGAGTCCGTGTGGCGTTCCCCCTTTTCCCCGTATCCCCCTATAGCCCCACTGTACCCAATGGGTGTTTAGGCCTTAGGCCTTCGTGGTAGTTGGAGTATATATATAAAAAAAAATAATACTTTTCAAGTTAGGAAATGAGAAAGCAACCTTGTCCAACCAGAATGTTTTACGAAATCGGCTGGTTTTTCACGGCACAAGATACCTGGTGACACTATACTACATACATTGCATCGTTGCAGCGGCGTAGCAACCATCATATCAGCAGTATCATATATACGGGCCCCGCAGCTTTCCACAATGTCGCCTACGTTTTTAGGCACGCCAAACTATAGATTCACAACTGTTAATCTTTACAAAGTATGAGTAACATCCTTATTACGAGGTCTGTAAATTAAGAGATGAGACTAAATTTAGGACACACAGCGCTGGAAACGGTTCTGCCACTCCTCATAGCAGTGCCGGGGATCCGATTCTAGAATAGCCTTCAGCTGGTAGGTTACAGCCATTTGAATGTTTCGACTGTCCCAAAATAAGTTCCCTTGAGGTGATTTTTCAACTTCGGGAAGAGAAAAAAGTCACAAGTGCTCTAGTCAGGGTGATGAGGAGGCTAAGGAGGCAAAAACTCATTTCTGACGTTGCTGTTTTACAAGAAGCATTATCGTGATGCAACACCTAGCTGTTCTTGACCTGATGAACAGTGGTAATGTGAGTCAAATTTAACTCTTCTCCCGAATTCTGTCGACATTTTCACCGGTTCTTGAAGATGAAGGTCTTCCGCTTCCTGGTTCATATTCTATCGACTCTCTCCCTTCTGAAAATACCTTAAATCACCGAAAAATCTGGGCTGTTGGTAGAACTTTATCTCCGTAGGCCTGTTTAGCAAAAGTTTCCGTTGCTCTGTGCAGATCGTTGCTCGAAATAGTTGATTTAATAAAAAACGTTTCTACAAAAGCTTTCAAAAGGTTGTAAAGCATACCAAAACGAACTTTGAAAACCATCTGAAGTCGTTTTGTAACTTTTTGCTTATAACGCTGCCTTTTAAATCATTTAAAAAATGAATATACCGTACTATGAGGGTAAAATAACGCCAACACAGAGACGCACCGACAGACAGGTAGAAGGAAATAAATTATATGGATTTAAATGTTGTAGACTTCAAAAAAACCTTGCTATTTGGAATTCTAAATATTTCACAGCCACAGTACGTCCTTTACTCGTGGGGAAGTAAAAGAGTAAAGTGTATATTTGTCATTTGCTCAGCTTGGAGCTTTAACTGTAAACATCAATTGGTTGGTTTGTCAATATGAAACTGTTTTCGAGTATTCATATCATTCAGTGCAAGCGTTTTTGTTTCTTTTGTGAAAAATGTCTTTACCTCGAATGGTTCCCTCTACTTTGATTCACCACAACTGGCTCGACCCACGACAAATTTTGATATGGTGCCCCTCAGGAGCAAGCTTTGCCGCAGCGTCGCTGTCACTTATTCCAGCATTCCTTAACATAGGGAAAACGTTACGCAATTACTGTTGCTCTTGACTATACCCGGATCTCTCCTAGTCAGAATATCTGGCAGACGAGGCGACCTAAAGACCTGTGGATCAGGGATCAAAAAGCGTGCAATTAGTAACAGGATCTCCTGCCCCATCTTTCTCCTATTACAAACTCCTTCTGCATCATTACACGCCAGCCCACCGAGCGACGTACGGGCCGACAGACCAACAGACCGACCGACCGTATTCTCCGGTATCGATAACGACTCGCTAATTATTTCAATTAGTCTGGATCTCGTTACTTCTGGTACACGAGACGAGGCACAACAGGTAACAGGTAGGTTGTATTCCAATCTTCTTGTTTGGCTGATGTCATAACGGCCGACCGTGCCGTGTTGGCTTACAGGCTCTGATCTGCTCAGACATAATGGGATTTCGCGCTTCGCTGCCACTTTCTTCCATCGGCTACTGAGTGTAATAATTGTTGAATTACTCGGCTGTTTAAATATTGTTTTACTGTGTCACGAGATTCAGATCGCCCTGCAAATATCTTACTTTCAAATATTTGTACTAACTGACGAAATGCATATTGTATGGTCGTAAATACTTTAGGGCTACCATCACCTATATTACCCGTGCCGGACAAAAGCTTCAAACACTCCGGACATATGGCTGGAATTGGGATTTTTACCCGAATACACCAGATTCTTATCTATAATAGAAATAAAGCCTATTTCTGCGGATTAGTATCAGAAGCTATTGTATTGAACCATCTCCTTATTGTGTTGACCAACAAATTTAGTAACAGAGTAAAATTATTTTATTAATGTTTGGCTTTCCCGGAAACCTCTTAAAGTTGAGAATTATTTTTATATATTTTAATAAAAAATTAATGAATGGCAAAATTATCTTAAGACATTAATGTAATAACTTTGCTACAATTTTTTGGCTTGTGCTAGCCGAAACGTCAACATTATAGTTTATTCAACATTTCTGGCTTGATTGTTAGACGAGCACAATAGTAAGAGGGATTACAAGGTAACCATAACATAAGTTATATTGACGTTATTACTGCGTCTGGGCGCCTTAAAATATGTTTTCACTACTGACCCGAGAAACAGCATTTATCTTCCAATATGTATAATGAAAACAAAAATTTCAACGTATTTTTCAATGTGCAGACGACTCCATTTTCAATCGCCTATGCCCCCCACCCCGAGACGGACTTCTTCCTGAACATGAATCCTGAGCCCGTCCCCTCAATCACTTACTGAGCAAGTAATCTCAAATTCATTATACCAAAAAAAGTGTGCAATATTCTACCAGCGATTTCTAGAGCTTAAAATAGGAAGAAAAGTTTATATAAACATAGGTCGACAAACGTCCCCTAAGGGTGCTACGGTCTTTTAAAGGGGCTCCCTTGAAGATGGTTTTTCCTTAATATTTCCGAAACGTGTTGAGATAAAGACATAAAATTTGGTATTCTAGCATAGCTTTTTATGCTGGATTTAAAAATATTAACAATTTCAGACAGTTTTGTTTGGAAGCGTATGTAACAGGGACGGACTCAGGTTATTTTAGCCCCAAAATTATTGTGTGATTCTATTTTTGAAATTCAATTTTAGAATTTGAAAATTTAGGGTTTTCTACATAAAAAAGGTACTCTTATTGAATATCGATAAATGGTGCCATTTTTGAATAAAATCAAACTAAAAAATTTGTCACATGATAGGAAATGTACTACGAATTTAAATGAATTGTTGATTATACGAGTAGTTAGCCATGACTGCAAACAAAAGTTGTTTTGATTTGTTATGACTTATTTTGACGTTAAGCTGACATTGTTAGCAGTGTAAAATTACTAGATTAAAATCGATTTAAAATGCCAAGATTTATAGACAGAGAACTGACTGACATGCATTTTGTGTACGGGTTTTGCAATGGCAGTTCATCGGCAGCCGTAAGAGAATATCAAAGAACATTCCCCAATCGCATAGTACCTAGACGTCGAATGTTTACTGATATTCATGCAGGGCTCAGGAAGGCCACTGGGAAATCATCGTATGGATATTGCTTTACATATGTTTGAAAATAATCCGCAAATAAGCATACGAAACGTTTCAGAAATTATGGATATACCTCGATCAATAGTAACGGAGGCAGATTTTTTACCACGAATCGAGTTTTACCAGTGGATATTAGCAAATGAAAACACTATTCCTAGAATATTATGGTCGGATGAGTCAATATTTACTAGGAATGGTGCTTTTAATTTCCAAAACATGCATCACTGGTCAGATGAAAATCCAATTTATTTGAACACTTATTGTAAACCTAGTTTTAAGTATATCCAACTGTACAGGTACGTCTTCTTTTTTAAACAATTTTCAATTTCGTTCGTAGAAAAAAAAATTTACCTTTTGTTTTTGCCTAAATGTTAGCTATGTTGCAATAGAAATATGTATTTATGTAATATTTACCAATTATTAAATTAGGTTTTTCATTGCCATGGCTTATTCAACAATTCATTTAAATTCGCAGTACATTTCCTATCATGTGATAAATTTTTTAGTTTGAATTAATTCAAAAATCGCACAATTTATCGATATTCAATAAGAGTACCTTTTTTATGTAGAAAACCCTAAATTTTCAAATTGAATTTCAAAAATAGAATCACATAAAAATGTTGGGGCTAAAATAACCTGAGTCCGTCCCTGTTACATACGCTTCCAAACAAAACTGTCTATATTTTTAAATCCAGCATAAAAAACTAGGCTATAATACCAAATTTTATGTCTGTATCTCAACACGTTTCGGAAATATTAAGGAAAAACCATCTTCAGGGGAGCCCCTTTAAAAGACCGTAGCGCCCTTGTGGGACGTTTGTCGACCTATTTTTATATAAACTTATCTTCCTATTTTAAGCTCTAGAAACCGCTGGTAGAATATTGCACACTTTTTTCGGGACACCCTGTATAGACCTCCACAAATATTTTATACAGCCGTGCCTGAATGAAAAACAGAAAAAAAACGCTTAGGTAAATAATAATGTAATTTAAAATTGTCATTATAATGACTAAACTTCTATTTCAGAATATTTGAAAACGATTGAAAAAATAATCGTCATAATGTTGGAAAAACGACTTCAATATCAACCTCACCTCACTCTACTTGGATGGACCAGTACCAACCAAATCGGATGACTGTCGTTAATTTGAATTTGAATTTGACACCAGGCATCAAGATACGAGATTTGTAAATTAAGTGACTCAGCTGATTTTTTTTATTCAAATATAATTACAATTCTATATTGTCACCCTCAAAAAACTTCCTTCTGAAGCCACACAGCGCTGGAGACGGTTCCTCCACTTTCCATAGCATTGCTGGAACTCCGATATTGGAATACAGTGAAAACTCTCTTAACGGGCAGCTCTAATAAGCGACCATCTTCCTTAAGCGGCAACATTTTTTGGAACCGATTTTAGTCCTATATTTTAACATAGAAAGTACACTCGAACTCGAATAAGCGGGCACTCTAATAAACGGATGCGGGCAGCAATTTTGCACATAGGACGAAATAATATCTCCTATAAGCGATCGCGAAGCTCTAATAACCTAGCAAATGGCC